TTCCCCGTCGGGGCTACTGACTGAAGATGGGTGAGCGTGGCGGCCCCATGCTGTGGCCAGACTCTGGGCCTGAGCAGAAAGCAGCTGCGGCTTCCCCCAGGGTGGGTAAGAGCGAGTACTCTCAGCCAGAGCGAGATAAAAGCCTCAGCCCTAGGAATTCAGAGACCAGCTGGCGCATCGGCCACTAGATGGTAGCAAAGCCTCATGGTGAGGGGCTGAGCGAGAAGAACCAGCTCCCATTCCCCGTGTCTTGTGTCAGGACCCAGGGCATTGCAATCGACAGGGCACACAGGTCCCGCCCCTCTGGGAAGAGGGAGCAATAAATGCCCCCCTCCCATTCCCCAACCTCCTGCGCCACCTCCAGGAGGGGACGGGACAATGCGAGCAGCCCCACACCCCACCTCTGAACCATCAGCAAGAAACCATCTCGATGCCGACGGTCCCAACAGTTACTCTCATCCACGACGTTCCTTTTGAGGGCACTGCAGCTGGGAAGTCCTCCAATCCCCGCCCCACCTGCCCATCAATCCGGTTTCTGGGCTGCACCTGGGATGGAGCTGGCCTGTCTCTCTCCTGGGGAGGGGAACAGAGCAGCCAGGGCCGGCTCTAGGCACCAGCAAAACAAGCAGGTGCTTGGGGCGGCACATTTGCAGAGGGCGGCATTCGGGCCATCCTTTTTTACTCACTTCCTCCCCTTTCACAACCCTGCAGAAGTGGAGCCACAGAGCAGCTGGAGATACAGCATGGGAGCTGAGAACCCACGGGACCCTGGGAGCTGTACTTCCTTGGCCAGCTCCCTGCCTAGAGAGCCAGCCCTGGCGCAGGGAAAGAACTACAGTTCCCAGCAATCCCTTGGCAGCTATCAACAGGAAAGGGAGGGGTAGGGAGTGAGGTAGCTGAGCCATGCTGCAGCTTGCTGTGAGTCGAAAGGGGTGGCACTGGGAATGGGGAACAAGCAGAGCCGGTGGAAGGATGTTTTGCGCCCTAGGCGAAACTTCCACCTTGCGCCCCCGCCCCCGAGCCCCCGCCCTGAGGCGCCCCCCCCCACGGCAGCTCGCCCCCTCCGCCCTGAGGCACCCCCCCACGGCAGCTCCCCACCCTGAGGCACCCCCCAGCCCCAGCTCACCCCTGCCCCGCCTCCTCCCCGAGCACGCCGTCGCTGCTTCACTTCTCCCGCCTCCCAGGCTTGCGGCGCCAATCAGCTTAGGCACAAGTGTGCCCAAGGAGTAGAAGGCTTTGCCCCAGATATCCCCTTCAGAAGACTTCCCCAGACTGGATTAGGGATACTGGTGTGACCTCACCTTGCAGCCCCCAAAGAAAGAATTGGGTGGACTAAATGGACACTGCCCCTCTCTATCTGAAGCCTAGCAAGGGAGGTACGTGCATCCCACTAGAATTTAAAATGAAAAGTAAGGGAGGGGAGGATCTACTAGACTGGGCAGCTTTAGATACAGTACCAGGCACGTAGGAGGATTTCCACTTCTGAGCCATGGAAGCAGAAATTGACTTTTCCTTTCCAGATTTAGCTAATATTCAGAAAGGGAATCCAGCACCTGCCTTCCAGATTTGAACACCCTCAAAATTCAGGAGTGCTCAAGCTCAATTTGAGCAGCTGTTACTTCATTTCTCCCAGATCAAATATACTGATCCACTGTAATTTACTGTAGAAAAAGTAGGATAAAATTGAGCAAGAAATGCTTCCCAGTGGTTATTAGGACTGGAATTGCTATTTTCAACAGCCATTGCCTTTTTTTTTAAGTTTTATTTGCTTAAAAGGAAGACAGTGATATTGCATTGGCAAATTCCCCATAGAAAGAAAGAGTGGAAGAAAAGAATAATAAAGACACCTCAACTTTTCCTCATTTATGGAGGACAGTCTTATAATATGCATCCAGATATCCTCCAATCACACAAGCTGAAAATTGTTCCACTTTACTGCAGTTCTGTAACCCATATGGGAACCAATCCTGTCTGTGTTCTGTGCACATCCAAAATTCCTGCTGAATGACCTGCCCTGAGAGCGAGTTACCAGTGACCCAGGGCTGGGACAGCAGGAGGGTGCAGGTTGAGGGAGAGTCCAGGGTTGGGGTGGGGGGAGGACACTGGTGGGAGGGGGGAGCCCAGCACTGGGGTGACAGGGGGTGTGGGTGTGTGTGTGGGAGAACCCAGGGCTGGGGCAGCAGGGGAGTGCGGGGGGGAGCCCAGGGCTGGGGTGGGAGGCAGCCAAAAATTTTTTTTGCTTGGGGCAGCAAAAAACCTAGAGCCGGCCCTGAGAGCAGCTATTCATGTCTTCGCCATATCCGCAGAGAAAGCAGGGACAGGCGAGGACAAGCCCCACCTTAACTTGGCTGTGGGCAGCACAAGTGCTAGGAATAACAGTGGCCATTTCTGCCGATTCTCCAGTGCGGCAGCTAGAGCCCTCAATGGTGCCCGCTAGCCAACGACAGCTAGATAGCGCGCAGTAGAGAGAGGGGTAGCTGGGGAGGTGGCAGGACGGTGGCATTAAAACCAAGGGGAGGGGACAAGGGATGTGGGGAGTGGGAGACATGGCCAGGGAGAGGTCACACTTGCAGGTGACCTTGAGGACAGTAAGTTTCAGTGGAGAGAAGAGGGCAGAAGGCAGAAGGAGAGGAGGACAAGGCAGAGTTGTAAATAGCCCACTGGAGGGTCTTATAGGAGAAGCCAATGCATGGAACCCGGCCCTCGTTAGCAGGGGACGGCTCATTTGTGGCTGCGCTCTGAGATCTGGGCTCAGAAATAGGGACTAGGGACGCTCCTGATTACCCCCCCGCTCCCTCCCGAGGAGCAGATTGGATCGTTTACCTTAATTGAATCAACCAACACTATGTGATATTAATAGGTTGCCATGGTGAAAAGCTGCCTCAGAAATCTAACAGATTAAAAAAAAAAAGTGCCGATAGCAACAAAAAAACCCATTGGCTTGATCTGGAGCCCTGTGTTTACCCGTTGTAGAGGGTAGGCAGCCGGGGTGCGGCTTTGCATGCATGGCCTAAGACATTTCATTCTCAGGGTCTCTTTGCTTTCTGGCCTGCTTGGTGCACGTGAAAGCTCCACAGATGAACATCCAGAGACGTTGCTGCTTGTGCTCTCTGTCCAACTCCCAGCATGTTTTCTAGACGCCACTGAAGGGCAGAACAACTAGCATTTCACAAGGAAACCAAAGCTTCTCCCTCTGGCTTAGCTGCAGTACGTGAAGCTCCTGAACTACCTGTCTGGGCCCAGACTTTCTGCATCTTTTCATTTTTTCCACGACGTCCCAATTAGCGTGTTATTGTAGCCAGGACACAAGAAAAGAGCCTGTTGTGTCCACTAAGACATGTCCGCTGGCCAGCAGCTTGCACACACGCTTGTGCTTTGCCCTGGCGTCAACGAGAAACGTAGAAACCGAGTCCAGCCTGGGAAGTTTGCACCTGTCTTTCCATTGGGGAGTGGGTCTTGCCTCCACATGGAATTGTTGGTGGGTGGAGCCCAGCCCCCAAAGCCCACTGCCACCCTGAGGACTACACAGATTTCAGAACATGCATGGAAATCGATGGCCTCTTCCCTGCTTCCAGGTGCACCCTCACCTCCACAGCAGCATGGCTTTAGCAGAGACCACTAGGTGGGGATTGTAGGCTTTCAGCCAGTCCCCGGAACATCCACGCTGCTCAGTATGATCATTGTCTCCTTGCAGGACTGTAAAGGTTGTGCTGGTCCCATGTGACCTCAGCCCTTCCAATCACTGCTCTCGGTCAGCGCTCCAGTCTCCAAGGCCAGATGCATCAAGGAGCTTTACTGGCAGATGCCCACTGGATCCTGGCATAGCAGGACTCGGCACCAGCAGGCATATTGCAGAGGAGGGGTTGGGCCATGTGGGCAGAAGGCAGCACTCCCGGTGGGCACACAGACACAAAGAGGGTGGACATCTCACCTGATACATTGACTGTCACTTGGCAGCTGGCGTGGCCAAACTGGTTGGAGGCCATGCACTGGTAGGTCCCTGAGAACGCCAGCGAGAGGTTTGTCAGCTGCAGCTTCCCTGTCTGGTCATCTGTAAGGAGAAAAGCCGCAGGACAATCATTAATGCCAGAGGCACCGTGAGGAACCCCCCTGTGCTAGCAGAGGGAGCGGCTGTGGGGTAGAGAGAGCAGTGGGACTCAGCAGTGGGCTTTGGCAGCATTTCCAAAGGGTGCAGGGCTGCAGATGCCCTGGATTCTGGGACGAGCTCTACCCTGCACAAGGAGAGACAGGGAGGGGGAGCAGGAGTAGCCAACCGTGAGCACATGGTCAGCTGCAGGGACTGACGCTGGGACTTTCAGCTCCTAAGGCCACTGCCACGTGAGTTAGAGGAACTCCACTAGCTGCGAGCAAGTAACAGACTGTTCTCCTCTCTAGGACCAGCCACTAGAGAGAGACACGGGCACATGTGCTAGGCCAGTGTAATTCACACAATTGCATGTGTGCCTAGCACCCTGTCCAGCAAGGCGGCTTTGCAACCCAATTCCCTACCATGTCCTAAATAGCCTATATTGGCCACTGGACACCTCTGGGTGATTGGTTGGGAAGGGCTTCTGAAAGGCCAGAGTCTGCTGTCAGTCAGTCCTTCTCTGTGTGGGGGTCGGGGAAGGTTCGGTGCTCAAGCTCTGTAGATGACTTGGCAGAAGCAGCCTATGATGCTTGCAGACCAGGTGCCAGCTCATGCCAAGACTCACTGAACACTGACAAATGCCCAGCTGGAAATCAGCCTGGCTCACCAGTGTGTTAGCATTGTTACAACAGATGTTAGAGTTATAATGTGTTCGGTGTTGGGACTTTATGACATGCTTGTGAGTTGCTATATGTGTTAATCTCACATATAACATCTGTATCCCAGAGTGTAAACTTATATTATGGTGCCCAGACAGCAAATGTGAAAAATCGGGATGGGGGTGGAGGGTAATAGGCACCTATATAAGAAAAAGACCCAAAAATCGGGACTGTCCCTATAAAATCAGGACATCTGGTCACCCTAACTTATATTGAGTGTTTGCATTGTTAACCTGTATACCTCACCAACCAGGAAAGAAGCATTAATTAATTAAAAGTGCTGGTCCTGCACACAAGAAGGCCCATTGAAACCGGATGACCCATTGTGAAACATCGAAGAACAAAGACTTTGTTGATTGTCCCCCCCACACCCAGGAAGAGGAGACGGGCGCCAACACTTGTCCCATCACTTTGAACTCTGGGGGAAGGGAATAAAGGGAGACCAGAAGGCTATGCGGATTAGAATTTGGACAGGGCAATATTTTCTAAGCATAAGCAAAGGATCCCCAACCCGCTTAGCTCTAAAGCCGTGGTTTTCAAACTGGGCTACGCGAGCTCTCGTTGGGGGCATGTGAGAAAAATCCTGTAATGGCGGATGAGTCCCGCACCGCAAACAACAAGAACAGCGTCCGCCGCTCTCTGGCCACCCAGCCCTGGAGTTCTGTGCTGCTGCTGGTGGCGGCGCTGCCTTCAGAGTAGAGCCCTGCAGTGGGACTGGGATCCCGTGGGCCCCGCAGGACCCACTGCCATAATAGCGGGAGCGGGATAAAAATTCAGGAAACAAAGCAGGAGTGGGTGGGAGTGGGTATTGCGTGGTGGGATGGGAAGGGGATTAAAAAAAATAGTCCTTCCACGCTGCAAACAACATGAATGCCCCAGCCAGCAGCGGCTGCTCTCTGGCCATCCAGCTCTGAAGTTCTGCACTGCTGATGAGGGGAGGCAGCGGACTATATTATCTGGAGAGGGTCATGCGGCCTAAAAAGTTTGAAAACCACTGTTCTAAAGGACATAGAAAGCTTGCATAACGCAGCAGCTTCTATTGCCTTTTGGAACCTAAGACTAACTCATTTGTGCGCGTATGTTTATCTGCTGGAACCTTGTCAATAGCCCCCTTGTGTCTTTTTCTTAGCTAATAAATCTTTAGTTAGTTTATTATAGGATTGGCTCCAAGCATTATCTTTGGTTTGAGACCTAAGGTACAGCTGACTTGAGGTAAGTGACTGATCCATTGGGAGTAACCTGAATATTATTGTGATTTTTGGTGTAAGGGACCATAAGAACTGGGTCAGACCAAAGGTCCATCCAGCCCAGTATCCTGTCTACCCACAGTGGCCAATGCCAGGTGCACCAGAGGGAATGAACAGAACAGGTAATGATGAATTGGGGAGGAGGGATAGCTGAGTGGTTTGAGCATTGGCCTGCTAAACCCAGCGTTGTGAGTTCAATCCTTGAGGAGGCCATTTAGGGATCTGGAGCAAAAATCTGTCTGGGGATTGGTCCTGCTTTGAGCAGGAGGTTGGACTAGATGACCTCCTGAGGTCCCTTCCAACCCTGATATTCTAAGTGATCTCTCTCTCTTGCCGTCCATCACCACCCTCTGACAAAAAGAGGCTAGGGACACCATTCCTTACCCTATCTATCACAAAGACAGGCTTACAAGAGTGGCAAGGTAGAGCAGAGTGCCCCAGGAGACTGGCTATTACTCTATAGCAGGGATGGCCAAACTGTGGCTCTTTTAACATTAAAGTGCGGCTCGTGGAGCCCCTCCCCCCCCCATTCTTCACCTACCAGATAGGGGGTGGGGGAGAGCTCAGGACCTCTGCTTTGCAGCAGGGTGGTGGGGTAGGGGCTTCCGCCCAGCGGGGAGGGGGGTCTTGGGGCTTCAGCTTTGTGGAGCACACCAGCTGGGGCTCATGGCTTCAGCAGGAACAGAGCTGAAGTCCCAACCCCCGGCTCTAGAACTTCTGAAGATTGTCATATGTGGCTCGGAGGGCCAGTAAGTTTGGCCACCGCTGCTCTATAGCAAGGCTGTGGTAGAACTTGAGGCGTTCACACTTGATACTTGATTGGTGAAATCTAAGTGTAGAACACCCAACTGGTCTGGGGTTTGAGCCCTGCTTCTTAACCGTCTGCCCTGAGGCTGGCACATACGGTTGTGAGTCACTCTAGACACAGCCGATGAGAATAGTTCCACCCAGTGGTCAGCGGTGGTAGTGGAGCTGGGCCCTGGATTTGCCCCTCCCTGTATCTCCTACAAGCTCATGCTTATAGATCAAGACAGATAGCCGGAGGTTGTCTTAAACAGGCCATGTGCCTTCTATGCCCCAGGGCTTAACTGCCCTAGAGTGAGACTGCAAAGAGACTGGCCCTTGAAATAATCATCGTCATTTCAGTCACTAAGTGCATTAACGGGCAAGATGCTGGTTTCCTGCCCTGAGTCCAGAGGAGAGACAGCCCCGGAGTGGAGACTGCAAGACATCAAGGGGAGAGATATGAGAAGGTGAGACTGCACAGGAGACTGGCTAACCCCGGAAAGGGAACAGTTGGTTCCACTTCCACTGAGAGCTTCACCAGCATCTCTCACCCAGCTACTGTCCCAGCATCTAATGGAGGATTCAGGCCTCTGATCAGACTCTGTTGAAAAGGACTCAAAGGGGCCTTTGAAGAGGAGGTTTTGCTTCTAGGCTGTGTCCTTTGCGGGTTTTCTTTAAGATCCGTTCTAAAGAGCTAGTCTGGTTCAAACTCGCTGGAAGAAATCCCGGTGAAGAGCAAAACCACTGCTCTGATGCTGAGCAGCAACTTCTCTACAGCTTCTATCTGGGACATTAAAATATATTCAAATAAACAAGGACATGGTATTTGCCTCTGAAACTGAGCCACAGGTGCAACCTACTGGTAGCAAAGGAAACTGCAAATGGCATTGAAAAATAAGTTTATAAAGCTAAGATTAAGGGTCTGATCCTGCAAACTCATACTTAAATAAGTAGTCTCTACTCCGGTCGGTGCTTTCATTTAAATCAATGAGACTACTCCTGTGTGTCAGGACTGTGCAAGTTGCAATGTATTTACTTGCAGTATATTATTTATCCACCAGATGTCTCTGTGTGGGGTACAGAGTTCCAGAGTGTGTGGTTCTTGGTGAACAAGGCAGATAAAGCTGGACCTTGAGCTGTGTGGATCTCTATTTGTGTCTGTAATTTATAGCTGTTTTCTTTAATAAATGTAGTACCTTCTGATTAATAGGATCTGAGACTCCATATATCAGGATGCATGTGAGAAAGAGTTTGTGGGACTGGGTCCTGACCTTTTTTCCTAATTTCTAAAATATTCCCTTTGATCCAGAGATTTACTTGGGACTCACAGCTGGTTACTCCAGACTATATCTGGCCACAAGAGCCTCAAATTCACACAATCACAGGAGGTTAACATTAAATATGATACCTGGAAGGGACTGGTTATTCCCAAAATCACAACAGGGTGTATCTCCATGCTTCAGATATAAACTTATCTGCCAGGGGAGGAAAGAATCTTCCCCAACCCTGGACAGCTTTGTAAAATTGGTCAGATCCCTTTTTCACCTTCCTCTGAAGCATCAGGCCTAGGCACTGGGGATACTGGATGTGATGGACCATTGGTCCCATCCAGTATGGCAGGTCATATGTTGGTGTCTGGCTCCTTCAATTCTGTTTCTATCAGATCACTCAGAATCTGTCAGTGGAAGCTTTACACATCTCTGCACAGGAGGGTCTATAAGGGATGGCTCTCCACCTACCTTGCACCATATTGGCCAATGGCAACGAGGTCTTGGAGTCTACCCGTGACCAGACGTAAATCGGGGCGGGCACCCCCTCCACAGAGCTGCAGGTCAGCATGGCATCGCCCCCAATCCGGGCATATTCTGTCCCTTTACAAACAGGGGTAGATGGAGGCACTAATGGGAAACGAGAAGAAAAAACAATGGATTTCTGTACTCAGGGCATGCACTATCATCGTGCAGCATGGCAACTGGATGTCTCCCCTGCCACTGCCGGTACCCACTCACTGCTGACAGTTGGGGATTGGTCCTGCTTTGAGCAGGGGGTTGGACTAGATGACCTCCTGAGGTCCCTTCCAACCCTGATATTCTATGATTCCTGTGTCACTGCCTTGTTTAACCAAGTCTCATCTATTCGTCCTCCTGCTCTCCCCATCACCGGCCCCTCCCCTCCTCTTCCCCTTCCACCCACTCTTCTCCCTGCCATCCATCTAGCTCTCTGCAAGGGCCTCTTTGCTGTAGTACCAGACCGCCACACAAAGGCCAGTGAATGGAAAGCTATTGTAATAGAATCAGAGATTATCAGGGTTGGAAGGGACCTCAGGAGGTCATGTAGTCCAACCCCCTGCTCAAAGCAGGGCCAATCCCCAGACAGATTTTTGCCCCAGATCCCTAAATGGCCCCCTCAAGGACTGAACTCACAACCCCGGGTTTAGCAGGCCAATGCTCAAACCACTGAGCTATCCCTCAATTGCTCTTCTCTGGCACTTCCCACCCAGAGATCCCAAAGCACTTTCCAAGAAGGTCCAGGTCATTACCCCTTTGTACAGATGGGAACTGATGCATGCGAGACAAGGAACCCGCAATATCCCAGCCCAAGGCCCAAAGCCAGACGGATGGATCCCAGGTGTTCTTGGACCCAGCCCTGCAGGCCCTGCTCAGAGCAGGGATCCCCATTCCATGGTGGGCCATGGGATCGCAGTACCCAGACTCACTCAGCACAGTGAAGTGGATGAGCCCTGAGCCGCTGCCGTAGAAGTCCGGGGGGTTGTTCACCTCACAGATGTACGTGCCGTTGTCCGAGGCGCGGATGTTGGTTAGCTGAAGAGTCGCATCCCCCATGGTGGGAGGGTCGTGCAGGAGGCTGAGCCGTTCGGCCTGAGAGCCGGGCTTGTACAGCTTGTCGTTAGTGAAGTAGAGGATCTGCAGGCAGAGGAGACGGTTTGCTGGGGCCCCCTCAGAGATGGGGGTTTGTCCAATGCCGACCCGGTGAATGAAGGAGGATCGGACGAGTGTCACCCAGCACCACGAGCAAACCTGCCCTCCGGCTGGCTCTGCATTGCCATTGCAAAGCATGTGGCTTGGAAGAGTAGGGTAAAGTGAAAGCTTCAGAGACTCCAGCAGCAGCCTCGGGGCTCGTGCGAGGGGGAGACGAGGGGGTTTGACAGATTCACCAGGAGAAAGAAACACAAAAGAGGGAGGGGCTAACACTACCCAAAGTGGGACATGAAGTCAAAGGGGATACTGAGCCAGCAGAGATACAGACCAGCTTGTCCCAGGCGCTCAGACCCGGCAGCGAGGGGCCAGGCAGGTACCCAGACAGAGCAGCCGTCTCAGCGCTTTCCAAAGCCCTTATAGAATTTAACACAAAGAGAGCGACAGAGAGAGCGAGCACGTGCATGCACGCGGAACGGCTGCGAAATGGCCCGAGGATGTACCCAGAATGTACAGTCTTCCAATACAACACACAGTCCCGCCTGATCCATACATGGTGTATGTCAATGGAACACACAGTCCCGCCCAGTCCATACATGGCATATCCCAGGGGAATACACAGTCCCGCCCAGTCCGTACATGGCATATCCCAGGGGAATACACAAGCCCATCCAGAAAACCTGCGGCAGGACTAGCAGTAAAACCCAGATCTCTTGCACCCTGCCCAGGGCTTTAACTACAAGCCCATCCTTCCCCCTCGATGGATGAGAACATCCCATTGGCTGTTCCCACTAGGTGTCCGAAACCACAGTTGTATCTGCAGTGATACTCACTATTGTACATGCCTCTGAGCTTCTCATTCGCATGTCTCCACAAGTCTTTCCCCAGCCTCCCAGTTGATCCTGGTCCCATCCCTGCTCTTGGATGTGTGGCTTCACTGGTGTTTCTAACAGCCCTGGCATACATCACTCGGATCTGAGAGCCCCTCTGGGCTGGCTGCCTCCGCCCCCCGCCCCCCCCCCCCCACACATTCTGCAATAACGTTAGAGCCATTCGAAAAATCCAATTTAATTTCCACCAAAAGTTGGGAATGAAATGGATTCAGCCAGCATTGCTCCGGAAACGAGAGAGCGAGCCCTTTGTGTCGGTTCCAATTCTTTTAGTTGCTGTTGGAACCATCAAAACTTTGGACCAAACCGAGCTGCTTTCAGGAAACGTTTAGACAAAACGTCATTTTTTGACTCAAAAGATATTGGTTGGGAAAAAGCAACAGCCAGCTTTTATGTAGTGTGTGTCCTTCATGGATCTCAAAGTGCTGGACAAAGGAGGA